ACTCTTGACCCAAGTAACTTTGAGTTATTATGACTTTAACTATCTATAGATTCAACCCATTTGAACTTACTCAAAATATAGTACAATCCGCTCATTTAACACCTCTGTCTAAGACGAATGGACATCCAGAGAAGTAATGCCACAAGAAAATCAGTAATTACAAATATGATAAACTCAAGGTTTGTCCTTCAATGTAGCATAGAACCAGAGAACACACTTCAAAATAGTACACATAAAATTCAATGGTTTCAACGAAAACATTACTTCCGTGTCTCCAGTAGAAACAGAAGAAACAAAGACTCAGGAGACACAGCGGTTTGCACATAAGTTTTCTAAAATTATACAAGCTGTGTTACCAAACTAAAGTAGGTACAGTATTTCCCTTTGGATGTAGTTGTCAACAACAACAAATGAAAGTAAGGAACACAATCAGAGAGGTAAAACCTCAAAGTTAATCTCTAGTGATCTTTACAAGTTTCAAGTTAGCACATCAACTGGAAAAGAATCATTATCATATTCGTGTTTCATCCATAACAGGTGTACTGCAACCCTCGAGTAAATCACCAGAGCAAGGGTCTCAATTATGAGTAATAGTTCTTTAGTCTCATCAAATCATTGAAGACTTTCCCATTTTCAACCAGTAAATTACACTACCAGCAGCAATAGATTGAGAAGTGATGCAGAAAACAAAAATGCATAAGGATTCGACTTACAACTGAAACAAACTTAGTAAACATGTCAAAACAGCGGAAATAAAAAAAAGTAGATGGCTGGTGCATACCATGTCCATTGGGCCTCTTTAAGTAATCAATATCTCTAAATATACAAGAGGGTGTGAAGTGTGAACCCCTTACTCTGGCTTAGGAGGTAGTAACTTTCACCATTTAAGCAGATCCCCCTAAGGGCTAAGGGACTGTAACTTACACCATATTCAAACACAAGCTAGAGAAAGAATAATCACAATATAGGATGCTAATATTAGACAAGTCATTATAAAGGCAAATGAATTGACGAGGAAAAACTGAACTTGTTACCTTTCCTACTCCTTTTCTGCAACTTGAAATCGTGAAATTAATCCTTCAGGAAGATTTTGGCATTAAAGAGATACTATTAAACATGTGATTTAATAGTTAGTTATACTTTACATAGATAAAAATATATAGAGACAACTTGCCAAGATGTTGTGACTGTTATCATCATACTCACATACAGAATATTATTAATGCATGAACAGAAGAGTTAGATTTAGATACCAAAAAGACTCGCCCATCTCTTCCGAGCTTCTTTGTTAGAAATTAAACTTAATTGCCCCAGCTGGTTTGATTCATTGCAAGCAAGAAACCACCTGGCTAACACAGAAAAAAGCACCTGCTGAGCTTCTAGATAAGTTTAACACAATGCTCGCGCTTTAGGGAGACGTTTTTCTTTTTACTACTTATCTATAGCAAAGTTGTAGTAAAAGGCACACTTTTAGCAGCATTGTAGTCCTGAAGTCAATTGATATTCCATAATATTAATACTATTCAACTGATATTCAACTGATCAACTTAACTGCAGGTAGTTCTCAATGTATCCCCTTAGTCCCACTTGCAAGAAATAACTGGAAACACAAAAAAGGCATTTCTTTCCAGTTAGACAAAAACCTGATTTGGAACATATTTCATCACAATCACTCACGAAGATATTGATATTCGGCCCTTTGGCACCGAAACCATTTTCCGTTCATTGTTGAACTACTACCATTTTTTGAAAAATGAAAACCAAGGAAACAACTTGTTAGTCAATGGACAATTCCTGCTTCTGATTGTACAAAACTTATGAACACAAATTTACTCCTCCAGACAGCATAGATCAAACTTGTGCTGATAAATTCTGGATAATTTTGCACTTCTCATTATAATGCCAATGATGGCAGTTACATCTTGCATTTCAGTCACAAGCCACACAATTGTTATAAAATCTCACAATGAGCTATCAAGAACAATAAAACAAGAAGGATGTACAAGTCAAAATATTTTCATTTGATAACCATCTAAAAGATTGACCAACAATTAGCACTCTGATGTGCCTTAGCAACTTATTGAGTCACTTTCCTTTGAGAAACTATCAGACCACTTTTTAAGGGCATCTGGATGAATGTCAGAGATGCGAGCCATAAACATTTTATCACTAGTGGCAACAATACTTGCAAGAGAATATTTATACGGACACCAATCCTGTTCTCTAAGCCACTTATGGAATTGGCAACGGGGCATTATCCTCTTCTCCAAGTCATAACATAAACAGGATGGGAAAGCACAAAGCTCCTCCTGTGATAATCCCATATCCAGGAAAAGAAATTTTATTTTTTGCTCAAGAAATTCAGCTTTCTGGTTCAGAATCTTTGGAGACGCTGTAAGCATTTTGCAGAGTGTCGATAACTTAATTCCACCACGAAGTAGGCAATCAAACCGTTCCTGTAACTCATCACCTGGACCATGCAACAGAGACAACACTTTCATTGTCAGCTTGTTTTCTCCAAAGCCAATCCCATGCAAGAAATTTAATTTATGAAGGGTATGAAAGGGTGTTCTCGTCGCCTGAATTTTCTGCAAATGCTCTGCATAATCTTCGTCAAAGTCTTCAACACTGCCAATAACATAGTTACCTAACAGACCATGACCACCATTTTTTAGTCTGTCAAAGAACCATTCATTTAGATCCAATGATCTCAAAACATGAGGTACATTAGCTATTCTATTTCTACCCATAATGTATTGGTATGTTTGGGCAATCAATTTTCGTTTATTTACACCCAACCCGAAATGTTTCAAAAATCCTACCGTCGAAATCATACGAACTTCCAAATCAAAACTCAAAATCTCAGGCTTCGATAGAACTAAAAGTCCAATCTCTTCTTTTCTCACATCTAGTCTACAAAAAAAATCAATCTTTTCAGCCAAAACCTCTTCAGAGTAATCAACAAAAATGCTTTTACTTCTTCCCATCAATTCACAGATCTTCCCTTTCTCACAACCCAATTCATAAAACATTGCAATTTTCCTACAAATCTCAAACCAAGCATTTACATTCCCCTCTACAGAACTTGCAAGATCAAAATCCAGAAACACCCTTTTCAAATCATCAAACAGCATATCAATTTCATCCTCACTCTTTTCACCCAGGACATTTGGGAAAGCTAGGCAAATACCAATAACAGCAACATTACAAAACCCGTATCGTTCAATATACGAAAGCCTCTCTTCCAATTCATAAGGCTCTTTACTAAAAATTGAAACATCCCCATTGTACAAAATACACAATTTGTTCCAGGGGAAACCATAACAAGCAAGAGAACAAGCAGCATCAAAAACTTTAGAGTCTTCACACAAGAAGCATTTGTTCATATGTAACATAGAACTAATTTCTACATGATTTATACCAATGCTCTCAAAGAAAAACTCAAATTCATTAATGGGGTGGTACCTTAAGAACCTCTGAATGGAATTGGGAAAGCGATTACGAGAAAATGGGACTTTAGAAACAAGAGCCAAAAGGGAAAATCGCGAGTTTTTACCCATGTACTCAGCAAAACAGAAGGGTAAGGATCTAGTGCTATGGAAGTATTCAGTGAGTACTTCTTGAGCTTGTAAAATCGCTTGGGGCCTATATTTTGCTGGAATCTTGGACAGTGTTGGAAGCTTTTGGTGTGTATTTGTGGAGAAAAATTGGAGCTTGAGAGTTACATAGAGGGATTGAAGTGTTGGGGTTTTACAACGAGAGAGCATTTCTGGTGATTGGGTTGGGAAGTAGTGTTTCAGTAGTCTTATTGAGAATTTAGTAGAAAAGTGTTTACCTCCGGCGAGTGTTGACGGAGGACATTCCGGTGTGTTTGTCGGCTTTTCTTGAACTGAACTGCAAAAGGGATCGCCTGTGGGTTTTGACTGTTTTGGAACAATTGAAGAAGTTGCAGTATCGTCCCTGTAATATTAGTATTTGTATGTTTGGATCAATCATTTTTTTCTTAAGTCATTTTGAGTCATTTCTATTAAGTTATAGTTTTTTTTTAATTCAATTTGTGCAATCAATGGCGGATCTAGGATTTAGAGTTCGTGGGTGCCAAATAGACTTATCAATTAACAATTTTATAAAAATAAAAATGTGCCAGCTGTTTTTCCTTAAAAAACGTGCTTTGAGCCTTTTTTTTTTTTCTTAAAAAATGTTTGCAGCAAATTTCTCAAAAAAATAGGTACAAATGGGATTCAAACCTGCAACATCAGCCTTCTAAAGTTGCCCTCCTACTGTGGCACCACAAGTCAGTTTTGTTCTCTGGGTGGCACGCTTTATATTTATGTAAATATTATATATATATATATATATACTTATGTATATATAGAGTTTCCGTCGAAGTTCGAGGGTGGCGTGGCACCCCCACACCCCTTCATAGAGCCGCCCCTGTATGCAATGAATGACAAATTTGATCTGATAAATAGGAGGAAATATTGTTTAGTCATTTTTAATAGGTTAAAGACACTATTTATCTTTTTTCTGAAAGCAATGTTCACAAAGTAAAGTAAGTTAATATTTGTACATTTTACGTGACCTAATAAATTATAGTTTAAAGGCGTCTTCTTATATTGTTTAATTCAATTCAAAACTTACATAAAAGAATTAATCTTAAATTTAAAAAGTCATTAAAAAAACTTTCAATACAATTTTTTTTTTTTTAAGAAAATAGTAATTTTATGAAAAATATATTTGAGTAAAGACAAAAAATCTAAAATATTTTAAGTTTAAATTAAATAGATTGTGTGTGGAGGAAGATGTTGAAGGCCTCTCATATTTTGACATCAAAACTTACCATTGGTTTATATAATTTAGTACCATTATATATTTATATCTGGTAAAATATATTAAGAACTATTTTCATTATATAAAGGACCAAATGAGACCAAAGCTCATACATGAAGGACCATTTTGATAATTTTCTCAAACCGAACACTTTTTAACAAAATATGTGAACTTTGTTATACGTTCCTCCATCTTTCTTCACTCTTCCCTTTCATGTCTAATTATCCTCCAATGGCTAATTCGCAGCAAATCGAAACATCCACAAACCCTAACCCTAATCCTCCTCCTCCGGGATCCCCACCGTCGGCTGCAGCCGTTATTTCTCGACCGTCAGATGAAGAAACGAATCGTTCCGCCACAGCTAAACGTCCACGTGAGGAATACGCCGCCGGCACTACGGACGAGGCTGGTTTGTTGGGGGACGATGTGCCGCCGTTGAAGAAGCGGGTTAAGGTTTCTCAAGATGTAGTGTACCGTATTGTTGTTCCGTCAAGACAGATCGGGAAAGTTATTGGTAAAGCAGGGCATCGTATACAGAAGATTCGTGAAGAAACTAAAGCTACTATCAAAGTTGCTGATGCTATTGCTGTGAGTTATGCAATTTCTTATTTTATTAATTGTTAAATTCTTGGAAGCTCGAAATTGATTATATGGGTAAATTAGGACAATTGTTGCAATTGCTTTTGTTAAAATTTAGGGTTTTTTTGGAATCTAATTGAGAAATTATTTTTGTTTAACTGTTGGCTGAATTGCCGAGTGATCAATGAATAGTGTTGGCCTGAGATGAGCTTGAGTGAAAAACATGATCAGCGAGGATTTATATAACTTACTGCAAATTTGAGTTTAGGATTGATGCACAGTTGTTTTGTTGGCGTTGGTTATCTTTTACTCAATACTAAGCATAGACAATTTATTTCGCTGTTATGCATTTGATATTTGCAGCGTCATGAAGAGCGAGTAATTATCATTAGCTCCAAAGACAATGATGATATGTTTAGTGACGCGGAAAATGCCCTTCATCAAATTGTGTCACTTATTTTAAAGGTAACGTGTTTTATGAATGATAACCTATAAAGTTTTTTGCTTTGAGCATTTCCTGTTTATATACTAGCAAGAGATGTCTTTTACAGTATGTTTTTAGTCGTCTTTCCTACATTTCATGATATGACCTTTTGATCTGCCAATTACACAAAAAAAACTGTTTTGACGTCTAATCCTTGTTATAGCTGGTGTGTCTTTACAATAAATCTAAGAATCTTTTTCCTGCTTCTGGTGCCAAAAACTTGAGTCTTTTTGGCTGTTTTTGGAGGCTTAAGGATAGATTTGTTATTCTCATTCCCCAATTATTTCCAGTTTTGCCATAAGTGCGGCAACAATCTCTGGGCGTACAACTTCTAAAAAATAAAAAAGTAATCCCTTTAGCAGCAATTACTCTGCCAACTGTTTCTGGATCATCAGTTTTAGGTGATTCCTCTTGTCCTGATATCTTTATATGTGTGTATCTATGTATTGTATACATACATATATAGTGTGATCTTGGGCAACCAATTTTGAGAGATCATGATTATATCCTCCTTGATACGCTCTTGGATCTTACAATTATACTCCAGAGAAGAGGAGATTGAATTGGTTAGGAGGCCATTAAGATTTTCTCTCTTTTTGATATCTTTGCCTTGAGAGTGGCTTATGTATATTAGGTCGTCTGAGTTCCCTTTCCCTTTCCCTTTCCCTTTCATAAAGATAAAAGTTGAACCATCTTCTTCTTGAACAAGGTTGTCACTGCTGCTATGTGTGATTCTGCTTGTTGTTTCAAGGTTAACCCATGAGAGCTTTCCCAGGGGAACTGATCCTTGCCTTATTTTTTTTACCATGATAGGATGATGGTGGCAACCTTGACGCACAGAAAGTTGGTGCTGGACATGTGGCAGCAAACACAGTAAGGTTCTTGATTGCTGGTTCTCAAGCAGGTGGTTTGATAGGAATGTCAGGTCAAAATATTGAAACTTTGAGGAATTCTTCTGGAGCTACGATCACAGTTCTTGCTCAACATCAGTTGCCTCTATGTGCATCTGCTCATGAGTCTGATCGTGTAGTACAGGTGAGAAGTTGGTACAATTGGCCAGTTATTGCTTAAATTGTTTGCATGTCTATGTTTCGCACATTTGGTATACTGATGGTTTCTTCAATAAACTACTGTCCGATAGATGTCATATCAAACCATTTATTTCTTAGGTGGATAGTGTAGTATAAAGCAGTCAAATGTTTAACAATATGTATGAAACATTGGATGTCTGTCGTAGAAAACCTTATATTTTTGTAGTTTCTCTACTTTCTGATGTCTCGCTTGTGCAACAGTGTTTCCCCATCATTAATATAGTTATTTTACCTTAAAAGAAAACAGGCAAATCTTAAAAGAAAAGCTATTGTTCAACTAACTTCGATTAAGTTTCTAGCATTATTTGCACATGTAGTTATTTGACTTATCACATGCTTTCAAGGGTTCTCTGTGCTTATGTTTTGTTGTGACCAGGCTCAACTATAGCTTTAATCATTGTTCATTTGTCTGTTGTTAGCTTGAAGTTGTTAGGCAGTTTTGGGATATCAGCTGTCCTGTATAGCCTATAGCTTTAGTCACTGTTCATTTGTCTGTTGTTAGTTTGAATTTGTTAGGCAGTTTTGGGATTTTGTTTGTCCTGTATAGGGAGATATTTGTTTTGTCTAGGACTTATCTATTTTTAAATTATTTCTATCTATTATTTCTACCTTTAAGAGCTTTAGCCTTTTAAACTTGTTTACTTTCGTTTTGCTTCCTAATTCAGCTTGCAGGAGACATCCCTGCGGTCTTGAGAGCTGTGGTAGAAATTGGCTGTCAATTGAGGTTTAGTAATTTTCTGAATCAAGGGGGTTTAATAAATTTTAATTGGCGTAATTAGGCTTGTTTGATTATTCTAAAACTATTCAATCCTAATATGTGTATTTGACAGGGATAACCCCCCTAAACAAGTAATTTCGATCAGCCCGACATACAATCTTGGTTATTCTCGCGCACCTCAACCACAGGTGGATCCATCTTCAGGTTAATCAATCTTCTCTTATAGTATTTTTGAGTTTCTGGACTGATACACTTGGTGCTATATGAAATTTTAGTTGTATATTGATAATAATAACATCATCCTTGGGGCTACACTCTTGCAGCTGAATATGTTAATCTGACTATGTTAGTTCCCGAATCATTAGCTGGTGGGTTGATTGGAAGGTGCGGCTCCAATATTTCACGGATCCGTGCAGAGTCTGGAGCAACTATTAAGGTGCATAAATAGCCTTGTAGGATCTTTTAGATTTGTCTCTTGTTGTTTAATGTTTGTGGTCTTGCTTTGTAGGTACATGGCGGGAAAGGTGAGCAGAAACAAAGACAAGTCCATCTTGGTGGTAGTGCACAACAGGTGAAACTTAATTTCTATGTCTCACTTCTTTTTGGTTTGTTCATTTCTTGTAATTTATGTTTATTACGAGTTATTTTTTGGTGACCTGCAGTTGTATGTCACCCTTAGTTTCGTTTGATAATATCGCTTCTAAAATGGAACTGTCTTGGAGGATTTAATCTTAGAATAAGCATAAAGATCTTCAACTAGTCTCTTGTAATTTTAACTTGTTTACCTTTGGAAAAGGTCAATCAATGAGATATCAAGGATTTCAGATCATGTTGCGTCCTTTAATAAATTTTTATGTTTAACAGGTCGCCCTTGCAAAGCAAAGAGTTGATGAATATGTCTATTCCCAGTTGATGTTACAAGCTGGTGGTGAGCAGCTACAGGATACAATGCAGCTCCAGCAGCAGTCTATGCAGCTGCAACAGTCTATGCAGTTGCAACATTCAATGCAGATGCAACAACAAATGTAATTTTTTGTGTACCCTATTAACTCATAATTGGTTAAGTCTAAAATAAATAATTTAGACTCCTGTCTGGCATCTAACTTTTCAATGTCGCTTGATGCAGATCCAACACATCTGCTACGCTGATGCCAGGATATAATCATGGTCATGGAGTTTATATGAACAGGTAGCTGCATACAAATTGTCCTTATAAAAGCTGATTGTTATCCCATTATAGGTATAAAAAAGTTTCTGGTACTTTTCTCTGTCATAGTAAAATGAGCGAAATTTTTGCTACAGTTAAGTTGACAGTCTGACACTGACCCTAAGGTGATTATGACATTTCTTTCTCATGCTCCAGTGGACTTGATCATTAGCTCTTTCAGGGTTGGTTTTTGGGTCAATAACTTAGATGCTTTGCTAGGATTTCTTATACACTGGTTGTAGACTATTTACTTTGCTAGTTGATGGAATGACAATAGTCTATTCTTATATTTGCAGTAACCAAGAAGCTCATATGATGACATCATACCCACAAGTCTACACATCAACCAACCCTCAAGCTCCTGCTTACTATGGTCAGTCTTATCCAGCTCCACAAATGTAGAAGCAAAAGGGGGTCTTTCTCGTACAGCTTTTCAATCAGATGATTGATATACACAATGTAGACAATTTCTTGTTGTGTCATTATTTGGGTTTCTGATATAAGCATTGGAGATGGTCGTTTCGGCCAGGATGTCTCTTGTTGATGTTGCAACATAGTTTGCATGAGATCACTTAATTCGTGGAATATTGATGGAAAAGTTTATGCTTAAAGTTTTACGATCAGTGAATCTAGTACGTCTCTGGGAGCGGCAAATCTACTGAAGGGAGCTTATAATAGCAGTTGCATTGAAGGTATAAGCATAGCCCTCTGGATCTTCTGCCCCTTTGATCTCCTCTGCTTCCACCCTGCTCGACCCTACCCCTTGAAAAAGCTCCCAAACCCCGCCCTGGTTTACCTTTGCTGCTTGATTTTCATTTAGCTCTGTTGTTTCCATCAGAACAGAAACAGGGATGCATTGCACGTCAGACGCGGTCACCTCCCATTGAACTGATTTCTGAAGAACTTTTAAAAAGCACGTGAATGATTTAGAAATGAGATGATCAGGAGTGATGGACGAGGGAGAAGCAGAGCTCAGGACAATGGGCTGCAGCAAAAAGATTGACCCTAATTCATCGGTTCAATTATTTCTTTTTGGCTCCCAAACCATTCAAATCCCATCACCCCTCTTCCTTCTCCCTACCCCTTGCCATAGAGTGTTCCCTACCCCCTCCCCACACCCCGCCCAGCACCATCATGCATATCATTCCCCTAATCCTGCGCAGCATTATCACCGTGTATACGCTCCCATAAGATGCACTGCCATGTCTTTGTATTTGTTAGGTAGAAGCTCATTGACACATTGCGAGTCAATCTCTTACAAAACAGGAGTGGTGTTTATGTTAAGCATGGTATACAGGTCTTTGAAAATTTAAAATCGATGTTGCCTAATATCTTTGAATAATTGTGATGTTACTAGATTTCTCATGCAAATCACAAGGCTGGTAAAAAAATGACCACAAACAAATTTGGGATTTTGCTTTGAAAGTGTACTTTTTCAAATCTTCTTGATGAATCGAAAGCGTAATGGATGTTTGGTTGGACTAATTAGAAAAATAATTTATGTATTAACACAACGGTAGGTTGAATAGATTTCTTACAATGTTATGCTGTTTGGTCGGTAAAGTTGTATATTTTATAATATGAAATAGGATACATGTATTAACACTGTTTAGTTATCATTTTGTTCAATACTTCTTGATTCATTTCAGGTAAAATTGTATTAATTTGTAAAAATATTTATTCCAACCAAGGCTAATAACATTATCATGTAGACTAGAGTCATCAATATGGGCTAGGCCTGTTGGGCTGGGCTGGCCTTGCCTAATCCATGATTTGATGGAGAAATGCTACGATTTTTGGAGCCCATTTAAGAAAAGGACATTTTAGCCCGGCTTGAATAAGTTTGTTGTTTGTGGGGCTTGAGAAATATGGATAGGGCCGGCTCGTGGGCCAAATAAAAATTAATAAAAAATAAAAATAAAATAGATTATTAAAAATAACAACAGTCTAAAACTCAAAAATTTGTTTAAAGTTTGAAATATTACAATTTAAATACAAATTACGTTTATAAAATATGTACTACATAAAATAAAAATTCCCTAAAATTTCTATGGAATCACTACATAGGCCATAGCCTATGGAATATTGTCATAGTTTTTGTGTTTTATTATGAATTTATGATCATTGGGAAACAATTAGGTTAATATTTCTATTTAGCTATTTATGCTTTTACTTGAAATCAAACTTAATAAATATTATAAAGATAATTTTATTTGTGTATTTGATTAACAAGTAGCAACTCTAACACCATGTAATATTGTCTTGTCGATATTTATGATAATATTTTTAGATTATAATTTAATTTAAAAATTATACTTTTAAGAAAAGAGGACTAGCCCGTAGCCCACATACTTGTGGGCTGGGCCGACCATTTTCTGGTCCACACAAAAAATGGACTAGCCCAACCTAGCTCGTCAAATTTCGAAGCTTGTATGGGTTAGCCCGAATGAAGTGGGTCAACCCATATTAACAGATCTACTGTAGACATTTAGAAAATAACGACACCCCTTTATCTAATTGAGTGTAGTAATAGAGCAGGTTAATTTTCCAACTTGCACAGTTTCTTCCAGTTTTAATTAGCATGAAAAAACTTGCAAAACCAGAAAGTTGAAAAAAAAAATTGAATAATAACATGAAAGAAAAACGATGTGACGGCAGCTTTAACTATCAACCACTTTCATCTATAAAAAAAAAATTAATCCAAAGGTCATATCACTTTCATCTATAATTAACTCAACCCAAATAACAAACTGACAAGAAAAAAGTTAAAAAGATCAGTGCTTATCATTAATATTAGTACAAAGTAATAACTATTTGAATTACATATTTTATATCTAATGGAATAACTCTAGGAACCTTCAGTTCTGGGGACCTTAAGCAAGTGGCCTATGGGTAGAGCCACCTGAGAACAAATTCTCAAACAATTTGGGGGCCATTTCTGGAAGATTTACAGGCTGATTAGGAGCCATGAAATTGACAATCTTTTCATGAATATTGTACCTGCAAGAACAAAAACCAAACTTTATAATCCAGGAAATCAAAATGCAACCTTGCATGATATAATCGATAATGAATTACCGGATTTTACGACTCTTTGAAGCACGACGATCAACAATCTTTCGTTTCTTTGTTTGTAGTCTCTTCAACGCATAGAATGCTGTCTCTGTAGTTGATACACAATTGGTTAGTTTTAGGTGTTCTTTTTCCAGGAAGCAAAAAAGCCTAGAAATGCATTCTCAGCCAAACACAAGAACTATAATCATATAAATACATTTTCTGAGAAATTCTCATCTATAGCTGTAATCTTTAGAAACTTATTCATGCTGCATACATGCGATGAAAAAAGTAGATTTGGTATTCGTGTAAAAGCGGGGATCTTTCTGAAATGACAGATACGCAATTCATGTGAAGAAAGCAGGCAACATACTTGAAGCAACATAGTAACCTAAAAAAACCATTTCATATTAAACAGTACCAATAGCTTGCATGTGATGGTCAAAATCATAGGAGAAAGACGGAAAAACATTGAACAGTACCAACATTCTTGATGTTGCAGGTATCACATCAAAGGTGAGGATAACCACATTTTCCTAATAACATAAATCACCATAGAGGAAGGTGGTACTTCTGAAACATAACCAGCTTATTTTGAAGAGGGTGGAGGGGGTTGTTCAACTTACCAGATGATGCGGGATCTACAGCCTCAAAGAACTCCTTCAGCAATTGCTGATAGAATTCAGAGTCATCCAGAAGTTCCGGATCACCATCCATGTTTGTTCCCTGATCCAAGTTAAGGATAATGAGACGTGCTTTTTTTATAAAGAAAAACTATCCATGCAAGAGCATTCTCAAGCAAAAACTAATGCATTTGTATATGAAGAATGACATTTTCCACTGTTGTACCAATGGCATAAACCTGACAAAGCTAGTAGCATGCCTATATTTGTCTAAGCAACACAATCAACAAGGAGATTTACTGGTCTACTCTTATCAATTGGACTTTAACAGCAAACACTATTCAGGGCCAAATATTCACAAAATGCATAAATAATACATTGATACCTCTCCATTGCCAGTAGCATCTGGAACCTGCATAAAAGCAGGCACATAAATCAAAACTAAGATAAACAGAAAGAAAAAAAATGTCATAAACATTAAGAAACATAGCCTTCCTCAAATCAACTCACAAAGTTAAACTTACAGTTCCAAATAGGGCAACTGCCGATCTACTTTGCTGCATTCCTTTTATCATTTTGGTAGGATCTCTCATATAACCAGCTACTTGTTGACTAATATCCTGTACAATATCACAACATTAGTTCTAGCATTGTGATCGTTGCTGTACATAGCATCTTTCAAGTCCCAGAAATAAACCTGATTAAATGCTTGCAATTTGCCTTTGATCGCGGCAGCACCAGAGGTCACCTGGGTCTTTCTCTGCCATTTATCTATCGATTTATCCCTAAAAGCAGCCATCCTATGACACAAGAATTGCCAATAACAGGCCAATCTATTTAGCAAAGGGAGAAATGGAAAAACAAACTTATCGCATGAGAATACAATGCTGAGAAAAGGCAGGGTATTAGCTAGTCTCGAACCTAACTTTTGGAGTTAAGAAAATACTCGTAGTTATGCAGATTTTGTTCCTAACTAAGATGTATATAAAATCTGACTCCAGATCAACACTAATAACGGGATGCGGGACCTAATACTTCACAGGGGAAGCAAGATCTAACCTATTGCTTAGAAGAATGCAATAGATTATGAGAAATAATCCCTAGAACAAAAGCAATAGAAAAGGTAATCTCAACATTGGAGGACTTATGGCCCCTAGTTTCCACACCCCCCGGTTTAGACAATTAAATTAACAATTCTAACATGGATTAAAAATCTGATGATGTTGCGATCAAGGTTCTTCCCCTCCTTTTTCATTTGATTTCCAGTTGTGTTTTAGCTCAACAATCAAATGGTAAAAGTAAATTGCTATCTTAATTAGCCCTCATTAATTCAAATGAAAACTTATACTTGCTCTATCCCAATTTGTACGAATCTTTCAATTTTGGGAGGTCCAAAAATATTTGACACCAATTTCATTTCTACATGACTTTCAGAACCTTCAAGAAGTCCAAATTCCAAGTTTTAAAGTGTGGTATGATATTTTTTTTCTGCCAGCTAACTTCTCGACCATTGCTTGATATGCTCTGCACTATGACTAATATATTGCCAAGTCAAATTAATATCCTATACTCTTCATAGATTGTCATATAAAATGTGACTTGAGGTGAGTATAAGGTTAAACGGGAACTTACATACACATTGTTCTTATTTTGCTCTCAGCTCTCTAGAACAAGACATGTCAGACAGACAGGCACATACATGGAGTAAAGGCATACATACTTGGGAACAGTAGAAAATAAATAAGAACAAGATAACTTGTGTTTCTCTTAGGGGTCGTTTGGTGTGAGGGATAAGAATAAATAGTTATGGGATAAAAAAATAGTCTTGGGATAATATTTTAGTTTCTTGTTTGGTTGTCATGTTTGGGATAACTTATCCCACCATTTATATCAGGATAAGTTATCCCATATACATGGTGGGATAAGTTATACCAGCATAACTAATCTCAGGATAATTACTCCTGGGATAACCTGTTCCCAACCAAACGACCCCTTAGAGGTTTAAGATAACTGTGACACAAGTCTTATCTTGCCCTTGGGGAACTGCACATTCAGACATGTCATACAGATGGACAAAGGCATGCATGGAATAGACACATAGGTCCTGGGAAGAGATAAATAAGATAAATGAAAAGAAACTGGTTTTCCCTTGCTCATAGGCAATGGAAACTTGAAAGTGTGCAAGGAAGACGAGGTAGAACAAAGTGAAGATTGCATCCACCAAATTCTGTTACCTCTCCCACTTAGGCCTTAGCCTCTTCCAGCACCAGTCTCTTGCTCATTTAGATTGAGTAAAACACAAAGAGAACTGCACTTTGCATGCGAACATTTCGCTCAGATAAACTATTATACCAAAATTTGGTTCACGTTCAAAATCGTACCCGTGTTTTAAATTTGACAAAAGACAAAAAGTTACAAAGAATCAGGTATTGTCGATTCACATTCTGCCAATGATGTGCCAGCTTAGGCTATACTGGCCAGCCCAGATAACTGGCGTTCTGCTTAAAAAGAGTTCAGGCTTTTTAGCTTCCAGGAATAATACATGCCAATCCCCCTTAAATTCCTAGGCCACCATAGTTGCGGCACCTGTAATTTTCTTTTTCTTTTGTTGATAAGTGGAGCACTGATAAACATCTACTGGC